GGCGCTGCCGCCGCTCCGCCCGGCCAAGGGGCAGCCCCGGCCGCGACACCGCCCGCAGCGGCCCGGCTCCCCGAGACACGTACCGCTCCCTCCGCCGTGTGCCTCCACACCGTCTGTCTCCTTCTGGCACTCAGGGAGGGAAAAACCGGTGGGGAATGTTCAAAAATCTCTATTCGTCGTGTTAAAATGCCGTTATCTTCAGACAGGCGATTTTCCAGGCAAGCTCGCAATTCCACAAAAATTTCCTCTCAAAAGCTTCCTGCGATCGCGGCCCCTGCTGGGTTTAAAAGGGCATGTATAGTATTAGGCGTCGCATATGTATCCCGATTTTAGGCAACGAGCCCTCGTTGACCGAGGAGCCCCGGGGTGGCGGCCAGCTCGCCCCTGGCTCCCCGCGGAGGCGCAGCTGCCACGTTCCCCCATCCGCACTCCTGTCCCGCACCAGCACATGCGGAAAGCTCCGACTGCTTCACAGCCCCGGCCCAAACTCGGTTCTAACAAACACTGTTGAGCTCTGCAAGACTGAACTGTTCCCTCAGTACACAGGAAAATAAAAGGGGTAAGATCAGACAGTTTCTGCTTACAAAAATCAGTTTGATTATGAGTTTAAAAGATGGTTGAAATCAAATAAACCGCTGAAAGGGGGATAAAAAGCTCCACTGTAAGTTTCTACTAAATGTCACTTTATTTGAACAAGAAAGGGAGGAATGAATGTGAGCAAAGCAAACAGTGTGAATAATCTCAGCCCTAACAATTAATTGCTACTTACCTGACATCCGAAGGCCCCTCGAGAGCCCTGGGGACAGAGCTCTGCAGGCTTTGACGGGGCTGCTGTGCAGAGACTCGAGGGGTTCGTGTTAAACCCCAAGCATGGGGGCAGCAGGCTCCTGCACCTGGGGTCTCTACACAATCTCTTCTACATCCTTGTAATCCACTAAACACAGCGGTCTGGACACACTGAGCATGAACTGCAGGAGCCACTGCCCAGTGCTTGTGTGCCTGCTCAGGAGCTCAGGCCGCTTCACCATGACACCTTGGACCAACATATCTCGCAGTGACCTCTTCATGAGGACAAACCAAACCAGCACGTGCCATTTCTTCTCCTAACGCTGCCTCTTTTTTACAGGCAGAGCTGTGCAGCACAGACCCTTCCACGGGTTCGGACAGCACCAGCAGCTCGTGTGCTGCCACTGAGCTGTGGGAACTGACTGCGGGAACTGCCGTACCGGCTGCAAGTGAGAGATGAAGCACATCTGCCCAAATCACAAACTCTAGCACAATGCATGACTCATTCTTGCACCTAGAAAAGGAATTGCTTTCGCTCAGGTGGCACCAGCAGCTGAATTTTACAACCATTTTTCCATCTTTGTCTGCTTCCTCCCAAGTGAAAAAGTGGGGCTCTGCATTTTTCAGACTATTCTTGAAAGCTATTTCACTGTGCCTGCAAAGTACTTAAAACATGCCTTATCACAGACTATCAGTTTTTCAAAAATAAGTGCGTAAAATCAATCTCTAAAAAGAAAAAAAAACAACACAAAATAAAAGAAAGTAAAATTTCAAAAATATTTTTTAAATTTTTTTTTTTAAAAAGGGAAAGAAAAAAAAAAGACCTTTAAGAGCCCCATCTGAAGTTACAAATATCTCCAGGGTCACTCAAACACATAAAAGCAGGTAAATTGGCCCACAGCATTATTTTCAAGTAATTATCCAACCAGAACAAATGTAAATTGTTAAATTTAATCTAAACAGACTGATGGGGCAAACAGGTTCTGGACTAGGGAGCCCACAGAAACCTAAGTGTTTAAGAGCCACAACATTAGGGTGTCTACCATTGTATTTTTGAGTAATATATTTTGATCAACTCTCCTTTCTTCCCACTTCCCCTCCCCCCACAACACTTCCTCCCCTTTTTTATATTAAATTTTCTGAATCGTCAGACAATTCAGATTGGAAGGGAGCATGGTAGTCCATCCTATCCAGCCTGTGTTGAGGGCAGGGTCAGCCAGGAGAGCAGACCAGGTCACTCTGGGCTTTGTCAGGCTCTTGAAAACCTCCAAGAGTGGAGGCTGCACAGCCTCCCTGGGCTCCTGCTGCACTGCCTGACCTCCCACCCACGATGGGGAAAGTGCCTCCAACAGGCTGCTGATAGGTGACCAAATCCATCCATCCATGCCCTCTCCCAGGTGAACAAGTCCCCTTCCCTCAGTCTCTCCTCTCAGGGCTTCAGGCCAGACCAAGCTGCTGGCCCTTCACTGAAATCCCCTTCCAGGATGTCATGACTGTATTGGAGGTACAAACTTGATGGTTATCTAGACAAGATCTAGCAAGTCCTGAGAAGCAGATAATAATTTTCCTCAACTTCCTGGAACTTTGCATTTGTTACTATTGAATTTCACAAGACCCTTGGCAGCTCCCTTTTCCAGCCTGGCTAATTCTCCCTTAAGAGCAGCCCAGGCCTCGAGTATGTTGATTGGTATCCCTCCCCCAGCTGCAGCTGGTGACACCTGCACACTTGATGAGAGTGCACTCCATCACCTCCCCAGGGCACCGACAGGGATATCAAACAGGACAGATGCCAGGACAGACCCCAGCACCACACTTGGGACATGCAGAGCAAGACCCCTCTTGGGTTTATAGTATCACAGCTTTCCACCCATCCAGGTCTTAGCCTCCTAATCTGGGTACTTGCCAGCCTCCTCCTATTTAAAAGTGTTTTCTCTCGAACTGATGTAACACAAAAATGTCACAGTACAAACCTACTCCATAGGCAGATGAGGCAACCCAATCACTGGAAAAGACCATTATTCCTAACAAAGAGTGGAGAAGTAAGAAAACCACAGGAATGTCCTACACTTGACTTTAGAGACAAGCTTGTTTATGCAGCATTGCCTTATGCCATAAGTGCCTGAGCAATTCAAGGAGTCATTACACAGCGTAACAGATGTTTCAATACTTTACAGATCTAACTAGCAAGTAAAAGCCACTCCATGCTGCTGTCACCTGCCTCAGTGCAAGCAGGAAAAGATGTGAACCCCCAACCCCATTTTTTTTTACATCATTAACTTCTTTCTTCACCACTGCCTCTCCTCTGAGTCTCCACTGCCTGTATCTTTCTGTCTCCCTGTGCCAAGACCCCCATCTCCCCACTGTCCTTAGAGCCCCTGTCTCAGTTTCTTCTCTCCCTTCTACTTTCACTCCTGAAGGACACAAGCAGCCAAAGCCAAACAGGCCAAAACAGACATTTTCCATGGTCAGAGAGACCCAGGTGAGCCTCTCCTGACTCTCACCTGTCTCCAGCTGGGCCTTTGCTGCAGGTTGCCTCCAACATTTCATGACAAACATTTTCCATTACATTTTCCATTTCCAACTCTCAACCTTTCTATCATATGATTTCAGGTTAAAACAGCAGGAATTTTTACAGCTTATCTAGTACAATATGATCTTTCTGTCAGCTGCTGAAAAGAGATTGTAGATATTAAAGCCAAAAGCCAAAATCCAGCTGTGATTCATCTCCAACCTCACCCTAGAAACTTAACCTCATCCCAAATAGCAGGGGTTTTCTAACTGAAACAAAGGCTTACACACATGAACCATCATCTGTAACCTTAATGCTCACCATGACACACTTCCAGCCACCATAAACAGATTTTCCTCAGCTGTGTATGTTTTTTACTGATTAACATAGTAAAACAGCTAAAATAGAAAATACTGTGTAGTTTCAGCTACTGAACCTGTACTTAACAGCTGCTCTGTGTGACAGCCAACACTGCTCTTCCTCCAGCAGATAAAGGAAGAGTGTGAAAAGAGACGTGTTGGCTTAGACCACCAGTGCAAGGGCTCTCATCACAGCCACCAGGGAAAAGGAGAACACATACACCTAACAGGCTTATTCACTCTGGCCATCTCTGGCCTTAGAGATAATGCCTTTATATTAGTAAGAAAACATACAAGAAAGAACACCTGGCTACTGTTTCCCATTGCATTCCTAAAAAAAGGGGGAGAAAGCTTCTAACAAAAACAGTCCTTCCCCAAACTGAGTTTTCAGTTCTCCTGTTAGAACAGCTCTTCCAGGAGACCCAGAGCAAGCTCATGCTCTAAACCTAACACAAAACAGCTCTACAATGGCACATGATTTATGTGAATTCTGCTGGATTAGGAAAGAGACAAATTATATTTCTGCCATTTAAAAACTACTCCCATTTTTAGAGTTTTTGTATTGTTTCACAGAAGGCTCCACACCCTTGTTAGCTATCTCATCTGTACCCTGTGGCAGGTTTTTCTGTATTTTCCATCTTCCTCATGTCAGAGCAGTGGTTCCTGAACTGCAGCCCACCAAAGCAACTGATCTCCAGGAAAAGGCACACAAGTCTGCATTGCCTTTGTAATGTTCAATAAAGTTTAATGAGTAGTACACTTCCTTTCTCCATCAGCAGCTCCTTGCAACTTCATAGTTGCCTGTGCTGGAAAGGCAAAAAAGCTTAGGAGTTACTTTCTGCTTTCTGTTCCAAAGAATAATGGCTTTAAAATGGAATTTTCCAATGACAAAATTCATCTGCTCATATAACCAATTAGGCTAACTAAGAAATTCACAAAAGTATGTCTCTGCAGCAAAAGACAAAGATTCTAGAATTTTACAAATCCCAGACACTAACTGGCTTGATCATCTAATTTACACTGACACCACATTACAATTACCTGCCTACATCTGACATTAAGCATAATTTAATGCTTGTTAATCAACAGTGAGGGGAAATGTAAGCCCTGTGTTCCTTATCTAATGCTTTCCCTTTCCTCTGCTGAGAGAGTTAGAGGATTTGCCTTGTTCTGTCTATCATCTTCTTTGGTAAATACCAATCACTGCAGTAAATCTGGTAAGCAGGCTGACTTCTGACCTCTTTGTTCATATTTGTGCCATACATAAATATGTTGCTGGCAATATTTTCTGGTGTTTTTTTTAACACATTAAACAGAAATGCATTATAGAATAGAATAGAACAGAAGGGAATTTCAAAGTATTATAAATATAGGATTAGGAAACTTGCCAGCAATATCTATTGCTGACAGCTGACTTTATTAAAGTTCATCAGCATTAATTGCCTCATTGTTGAATGACTTTTGCATGTAATTATCATCAGTCTAAACACAGATTGCCTCAGGTACAGTATCTAATGTGATCGTGCATTCTGAATCCTATTAAAATAGCCAAGATGTAGCAGAAATTATTCTCCCCCTACCAGTAAGGAAGTGAAAGAAGCAACAGAAACAGGGGGAATTTAT